GAACATTACGGGGAAACATTCAACCTGCTGCATCAGTATGTGGTCAATATTTACACAGACACATAAAGAACAACACAACACATTTCTTAGTTCAGCAGGACAACTCATGCCTCTAAACACTAATGTGCAGCTTTATTCTGAGGTTGCTTCAGGTCGCATCCTCAATGGATCTTATAACTGCTGTATGTGCGGCCTTCCTTATTAGCTACATCAATGTATTGCTCCCCTGCTGTCTTAATGAACAGAATCAATCAAACGTTCCCACGTTTGGAACTTCCACTGACAAAACTCCACATGCAGTCCTTGCATGAGGGTCAGTTCTCAAAATGTGGCATAATCAGAGATGCTACAGGTAACAGTTTGCGTATATTTACTATTCAGGGGGCTGACAGTTCAGAATATGACAGCTTGATAGCACAGAATAAGAAAGACAGCAAGACAGTTCAGAAGATCATTGCTAAAGCTATTAATATAACTAAGGGTGGGAAGCAAGAATCCATTCTCGTTCAAAATCCTTTTTTAAAAAAAATACATATTTCAAACTATTCAGCAGTGTGCAACACTGCTACTGAAATTCCTGAACAATGTGCTTGTGTGCTGATTCTTTTAAAAAAAATGTAGTGAAACTATGCAGGCAAAAAAGCAACCATCGCATGTCCAACTTGAACCTGCTGCAAAATCTGCATAGTCCTGAATCGAAATTCCTATTTAAATGACTAGATTTTGTCAGTGCAAGAACACACAAGAACACCAAACAACGGTAATTATGACTGATTCCTGAACAAATGACTCTTATCAGCTGGTTCTTTTTAGTGAATCATAATCATACAGCGGCAACAATGATTCAAATAAATTACTCTTACAGTTCTTGTCAGCGAACCAAAAATATACAGCACCAAGTGTAGTCTGATTTCAAAATAAGCAACTGTTATGAGCTGGTTCTTTTCAGTGAATCGGAAACACTTAAAAGAGAGTAACTTTCTAAAACAAGTTATCAGTCAAGCTCGACTCAAAATGGAATCAGAGTAGTTAAGAGGAGTCAGACTCTACAAAAACTGCCTTGAACTATTAAAATGCACTTCCTTTCCAATGCACGTCCTGTTAAACATTAATAAACGGGAGTACATGATGTAGAGCACTGAGACACATGAGAATAACCTTTTGTAGAGATGGACAGCAGAGTTAGAGGTGGAGAGGGAGCTAAAGAGAAGCTGATGTGATCGGCACACTCTCATGAAGTGCTCATGTTCAGCGGCAAGGTCAAGAACCACTAGAGCCCCATCGAGAGCTCTCTAAAATAAGAGTGTGAGGGATTCATACAAATACACTGATGGTAAATAACACTGATACTCAGCCATAACGTAACTTGCAGAGAGTGTGCAATTTTTTACATTTGTTTTCCCTTTGTTGATGTTCACAAACAAGGCCTTCCTCGCGTCTGTTCTTCTACTTCACTCATTGCCCAAAGCCGAGCACAGAGAATGCAAGAAGATCTCTGAAGGGATGGGATAGTGATAGTTTCATGTAAAATTCATGTAGCGCTCTGCATTATGATGTGACCTTTGAAGCATTCCAGTTACTGTACTGAATTCCCATGCTGCGGTTCAAAGTTCAGGACTGAAGTGATTGTCATTAGCATACCTCTCGTCGTGTTTACTTTATGACGACTAGATGCTCAGGAGATTTTGAGAGCCAGAAGGATGACGCATTGTCCAAGATGCTCAAGACAAATGCATCTGCCTTGTGGTGAGGTGAGATGAGAAAAAAGACAAAATCTAGGAAAATCTGACTTGGGGCAAAACCCAGATACAGGATTCATTTTCTTTCCCCTTCAGAAAGGGGAATTTGCATCTGATTGAGAGAATACTGTCGTCGTTTTTAGAATATGTTTCAAATCAACGTCTCAGAGAAGGAAAATCTAAAGATTTTATAAGCTGAGCCGAAAGCTGAGCAGGCGGCGTCACCCCGTGTCTGAGTGTTACAGGCATAGCACATGTTGCTATGGCCCACACATACAATCACATTACAGCATGATCTCTCAGGTGGCTGCTTATGAGATCAAAAACAAAGTTTGGGAGAAATGGTCTGGGAGTTAAAGGAAGTCATCAAACCATTGCAAAATGAGACCACATAAATCATCCAAGGTAGAATACCGTTCAAAGGGGTGGGGAAGAATTTTTTTGTTTGTTTTTGAATGAAGCCTCTAATGTTCACCAAGAATACATTTATTTAAATGGGTCTTATGACGTTGCTAAAAAAGAACATTATTTTGTGTATTTCGTGTAATGCAATGTTTACGCGGTTTAAGGTAAAAAAACAACAACATTATTTTCCACATACTGTACATTATTGTTGCTCATCTATGCCCCACTTTTCTGAAATGCATAGATTTTACAAAGCTCATCTGTCTGAAAAGCGCGGTGTGCTCTGATTGGCCAGCTATCTAGTGTGTTGTGATTGGCTGAATTCCTCAAGCGTGTGACGGAAATATTACGCCCCTTACCAGGTTCAGGAAACTTTCCTCCATAAAATGCGTTGCACGCACTCAAATATTTGGGTTGTACTGTTCTGGAACAGTGTAGTAAATAAAAATTAACCACTGATTTCTAGTTGTGTCCAAGAAGGCCAAACAAAGTAGTTTGCTTTCGCAATGAAACACTCAGCATCTCCACAACATGGCGGCGGCAACAATACTACAGCGAGAATAAAAGTTACGCCTTCTTTCTTTGCGTGAACATTTGGGTGGCGTTATGCAAATCTTCCCACACAGTGACGTAGATATGCGGGGGCGTGTTTGAACGAGGCATTTTAGGAGGGCGTGGCTGAGCGTTCACTTTTAGAAAGAATATCTCTTTGGGTTTGAGACTTTACGGATCTTCTGTATCCATGAACAGCTTTTAACACTCCAAAGACAAAGTAAAACATGAAATCGCATCATATGACCCCTTTAATGAAAAATACAGTCAATCTTATGAAATATATAATATAAAATAAGAGTTTTCTATTTTAATATATTTTAAAATTTAATTTATTCCTGTGATGTCAAAACTAAATTTTCAGCAGCCATTACACCAGTCGTCAGTGTCACATGATCCTTCAGAAATAATTCTAATATGCTGATTTGTTGCTCAAGAACCACTGTGATCAAAATTGAAAACTGTTGTACTGCTTACAATTTTTGTGGAAACAGCGATACTTTTTTCAGGATTCCTTGAAAAGAAAGTAAAAAAATAGCATTTATTTGAAATATATTTTTTTTGTAACAATGATAGTCTTCACTGTCGCTTTTAATCAATTTAAAGCATCAATCTCTGTGGCAAACAAAAAAATAAAATAAAATAACTTTAAAAAAAAAATCTCAGTGGCCCCAAAATTAGGAACAGTCTCTCCTACATTACAGATTAACACTCAAGAGGTGCAAAACAAAACTTCCTTTCCAAATCATTCACTTACTTGGCATTAATGCTAAGCGAATTCGGTTCTGTGCAAACATCTGTTGATCGTACCAGCTGAAGTTGAACATAAGCGCTATGTTTTACCTCAGATCAGCAGATAACAATATTCCCTTCTGACACTCAAATATAGTACAGCCAGGTGCAGCTAAGCTTAATAGTAGGTTGTAGAAAGACTCCACACACTTCAACTCTAGACGTGGAATAGGATGTGCATATTAATTATAGAGAAGTGAAACCAGAGCTATTACTCTTAAAACGGTTTGAGAGCGAGTTGAGAAAATGTTACACAAACTGGAAAAATGGGGTGAAAAAAAAACTATTTTACATAAATTGAATAGCAAAAACCTGTTAATGGGTCAATGACAAACTGAAAAGTCCACGATAAAGAAAAGAGAAAATCTTGTAAGTTTTAGTTTAAAACATGTGCCAAGTTCTTATAAATATGCACTACCACTCAAAAGCTTGGGCTCTATAATATTTTTTATGTTGTTTTTGAACAATATTCATTGTTTTATTCTGCAAGAATGCATTAAATTTATTACAAAAGGTAAAAAGAAAGCTAGTTACAAAAGCTCTCTATTTCAAATAAATGCTGTTCTTTTCCACAAAAAAATATTAATCAGCACAACTGTTTACAGCACTGATAATAGTAAATGTTACTTGAGCACCAAATCAGCATATTAAGATGATTTCTGAAGGATCATGTGGCACTGAAGACTGGAGTAATAATGACTGCTGTAAATTCAGCTTTGCCATCACAGGAATAGATGTTCATCTAAGAATGGTTTATTCAAAAATGAATTGCATTTTTTATTTATTTTGAATAAGGTAATAAATTCAGACTGAATTCAAGTTAGATTCAAACTAAGAGTGTCATGGAGTGTCACCAAGGGGCCCACTAAAATAATTAAGAAAAGAAAAGAAAGAAAAAAATGAACATTTTACATAAATTAATAGTTATAATCTTTCAGTTTAATACAAGAATAGTTATTGGGAGTCACAAAGAAAAATGAAATAATCATTACCGGTAGTGCTCTATCTACTGGATGAGCTTAATATTATTTATCAGTTATATAATCTCCCACTTGCAATATCATATGATGATAAAATGATTCAGAAAAGATGACTGCAATTTTGTTTGTGATCTAAAGGTTCAGTGCTTCTATACAAATGCAAATGAGAATTTAAGTACCCAGCCAGGCTGAAGCTGTAGTGAGACTGCATTTTGTGGTGAGTAGCTACAAGGTGCTTGGCAGAAACTCCACTTTTTTTTCTGTTAACTCAAATTAATTGCTTCATGACTTGCTCATGAATGAGATGATCCCCTGCCCCGTTCACTGCGCAATGCGTTTCCCTCGCTACAGCTAGACAAATATACGTCATTTCCAAAGGCAGGAATCTAACCTATTTTACGCCTGTCTAGAGCAAAATGAGAATGAAATCAATGAATGATTTCACGCTCAAGCGATGAATTTGGCTTACAGTGACTTTTGGAAGTGTCCTCTGTGTGTGTTCACCAAGTTTATGGATGGAGAGCATGCATACCGTGCAAAGGTCCTTGTACGGCATCTTCTGGAACTTGGTGTCTGCGTTGCCGGCGCACAGCTCTACGTATCCCAGCACCACCTGGAAGACAGTATTGTGGATGGCCTGCGTGAAGTGCATGTGCAGCTGATCCATGGCCGTCTGGGGACAAAGAAGAAAAACATATAAATTACATTTTAAAATATATTAAAGGGGTCATTGGATGCCCATTTCCCACAAGTTGATATGATTCTTTAGGGTCTTAATGAAAAGTCTGAAACATAGTTTGGTTAAAATTTCTCAATGGCAGAGTAAAAAACACCCTCTCAAAAACAGCTCTTTTCAGATCAAGCCGTTTTGTAGCATTTTCTTTAAATGTTAATGAGCTATGCTGACCCCACCCCTCTCTTCCGAGCTGCTCTCAGAGAGACTGTTTACTTTAGCCGCATTCATCGTGAAACTTGCTAATTAGCACATTATTAGGAAAGGTGATTTGCAAAGATTCATTAAATAACCTTATACCCTTCTGTAGGTGAAGCTGGATCACAAATGATTCGCACGAACAGACGCATTTAGGTAGATCGGGGGTGCATTCCCTTCAAAAACAAACGTAGCAGGGGAAACGTTGGAAAGATTCAGCCTATAAGGCAGCAACTAATGCTAGTGTTTCAGTTTAATAATAATTTTTGCTAAGATTTTAAAAAATAATAAAAAAAAGATGATAAAAAAGTTTTCAACTGCCAGTCAAATGGTGTAACAGAAACCTAAAATAACAAATAAATTGTATGAATGCATAATTTAATGTTATACAGAGGTCTATAAACATTGTAATATAATTAGGATTAGGCCATGATCCTGGATTCTTGCTGAACCAAAATCAGAGCGTAACCAATTGCTGCATCTCGCGGTGTTCAACTCGCAGCGAAGGGAAAATGTTCTATGGTGCGGCTAAATGGTGCTGAATATTGGGATAATAACACCTAGTCCTATCATGCAAACTGCAGGCAGCTTTTTAAATCGGAAAATGTAAAATGAATAAATATTAGTTAAAAAGAAAGCACAAACGGTGTTAACCATTACAAAAGTGTTAAAGGGGTCATGAACTGCCTTTTTTATTATGTTGTTCTGTTCTCTGATGTCTACTTATGTTATCAAAATGTTTTAATCTTCATTAAAAATAAACTTCAACTCTTTCCTAATGTTGGGATCAGAAGGGAGGCAATGCAAAAACTGTTTTTCCACAGCTTGGCACTGCAAAACATTTTGTTGCCATCTTTATTGTTTGGTTTCTGTGTAGACCTGCGTTTGCCTCTTGTTATTCATCTACATGCGTGAATCGGTGGGCGCGAATTTATGTATATGGCCTAAACAGGCAGTGATGTAGAAGTGGGTGTTGATCTTCTGCGGAGGCGGTGTTTAGCCACACTATTACGTCATAAAGTGACACATTCCCCAACCAGCCGCATTCATCGTGAAACTTGCTAATTAGCACATTATTAGGAAAGGTGATTTGCAAAGATTCATTAAATAACCTTATACCCTTCTGTAGGTGAAGCTGGATCACAAATGATTCGCACGAACAGACGCATTTAGGTAGATCGGGGGTGCATTCCCTTCAAAAACAAACGTAATCCACTGCGTCTTCAGCGGCTCAGATGTCAGGAGTAAATGGCGACTGCTATGTTCATTATTACAGCCAACAACAGAACACCTCAATCGCTTAGGAGTCATTCTTGTCTACATCTGCTCCAGCGGTGAAACAATGGTGGACTGATGACAGCTCACTCAGAGCGGGTCTAAGGTAAGACACCAGTCCAGTCTGTGCTGAAACGCTACTGTCAATCAAACTATCGTGGGAGGGGCCTCTTATTGTGACGTCTCACAGACAGGCATCTGAGATCGGCTCGATTTGAGAAAGGGGTAAAGATTTTAGTAGATTAAAAAAAAAACACTAGGTGTATTTTTATCATTATAGGGTGGTTGTTTACACACACTGCCAACACACATTTCAGTTCAAACAACTTGTAAAAGTAGCATCCAATGACCCCTTTAAAATAGAAGTTATTTTAAAATGTAAAATTTCACTATATTGTTGTTTTACTATATTTTTGATCAAATAAATGCAACTTGGGTCAGCATAATTATTTTTTTTTAAATCTTACTCCAAACTTTTGAACGGTAGTTTGTATAAACATACCGATACTGGACAAAATATTGTTATATTTGTGCTTAAAACAAGGGACGAAAAAACAACTATAGAGTATGTAAAAGAATAATAAAAGACACTCTCTGAAATCAAGTCTTATGTGTGTACTTTGTTCTATGGATATTCAGATATTTTTACTGGAAGCTAGAAGAAAATTAAAAGATAATGTATTTTCCCTGCCAAAGGAGATCTGTTTGAAGGTAAAACTTCTGGGTAACAGTGGGCCTGACTCACACTCTCACAGGAGATGAATCATTACGAACTACATACTGAAGCTCAGTATAGTCCCAATGGGAAAACACTTTGCTACAACTTAATTATGCTTCTTCCCTCTCGCTTTCACTGCTCTTCTTCTTCCTTCAGCCATGAGCGCATCCCTCCCTCAGCTTTGGCTGAATTCAGTCAGTCAAAATGGCTTTCAGGATATTTGCCTTCTCCTGCAGGTCAATGTGTTCAAAAGCAGAAATATTCAAAAATATTCAAACGCATTTAAATGAAAATTATGTAGCTGATGAAGTCATCAACTTCTGCACTTGTTCTGTGAGGGAAAAGATTTTTTTTAAATAAACCTGAAAACATATCTAAAAGACAAATGTGACAGAAATATTAATTGTGCTGAGCAATTAGATCCATTAGATAGATTTAAAAACAAGAAAAACAGAAAAGATGAAAAGATGGAGAATTAGATGTGCAGTCATTAGGCTAATTGCGGAGTTCATGGAATAGAGCCTGAAAGAACAGCACCTCTTTATAGGCACAAACAACAGTTTTACTGAATGACGTACAAACTGAAACAAGGTTTGTGTTTGATTTGTTTTAAACTTTGAAGCTTTAAGGTCAGTAAATATCTAGCTAAAACATGGTGGAACATCTTGGTCAGATCCATGATGAAATATTCGTCAGTGACGTCTCTTTAGAGTTGTGAAAAACAGCCATAGAGTGAGCTACTGCAGAAAAAAGTGCATACCTCAAGTTACATAAAGCAGGGGAAACGTTGGAAAGATTCAGCCTATAAGGCAGCAACTAATGCTAGTGTTTCAGTTTAATAATAATTTTTGCTAAGATTTTAAAAAATAATAAAAAAAAGATAAAAAAGTTTTCAACTGCCAGTCAAATGGTGTAACAGAAACCTAAAATAACAAATAAATTGTATGAATGCATAATTTAATGCTATACAGAGGTCTATAAACATTGTAATATAATTAGGATTAGGCCATGATCCTGGATTCTTGCTGAACCAAAATCAGAGCGTAACCAATTGCTGCATCTCGCGGTGTTCAACTCGCAGCGAAGGGAAAATGTTCTATGGTGCGGCTAAATGGTGCTGAATATTGGGATAATAACACCTAGTCCTATCATGCAAACTGCAGGCAGCTTTTTAAATCGGAAAATGTAAAATGAATAAATATTAGTTAAAAAGAAAGCACAATCCTCTGCCCATCTTGACTTCTGAGAGACACTGCTACTCTGAGAGGCTCTTTTTATACCCAATTATGTTGCCAATTGACCTAATAAGTTGCAAATTGGTCTTCCAGCTGTTCCTTATATGTACATTTAATTTTTCCGGCCTCTTATTGCTACCTGTCCCAACTTTTTTGGAATGTGTAGCTCTCATGAAATCCAAAATGAGCCAATATTTGGCATGACATTTCAAAATGTCTCACTTTCAACATTTGATATGTTATCTATATTCTATTGTGAATAAAATATAAGTTTATGAGATTTGTAAATTATTTCATTCCTTTTTTACTCACAATTTGTACAGTGTCCCAACTTTTTTGGAATTGGGTTTGTACAATGATCTCTTATATGTCAAAAGATCAAGGGAATTTTTTTTATTTCTCAGCTCATGATCCCTTTAACCTTTACAAGATATAACGTTCTACAGGAACATACATTCTGAACAAATTAAAGGGTTAGTTCACCCAAAAATGAAAATTAGCCCATAAATTACTCGCACTCAAATCATCCTAGGTGTATATGACTTTCTTCTTTCAGACGAATCCAGTCGGAGTTATATTAAAAATGGTCTTTGATCTTTCAAGCTGTTTAATGCCACTCAGCGGGTGTTGCATGCATCAGTCCAAAAGCAGTTAAATAAAATGCGCCCATCCATAAAAAAAAAAAAAGGTGTCTCACACGGCTCCGGGGGATGAACAAAGGCCTTCTGTAGCGAATCGATGCATTTTTGTAAGAAAAATATCCACATTCAAAACGTAATAATCACTTTAATGTAGCTTGCGCTCACTGTTGTACACTGGAAGCAGTTCCGGGCGGATGACGTATGAGGTCGGCATTGCGATATTTTGCATAGCCCTAATTAGAAAACTTTAGTAGGCAGAGGGGTGGTTCCGGCCTTCTTTTTTGTCCTTCACAGATCACATGCCTTTGTCATTTATTTTAAAGGAACTATAATAATTATAAGAATAAGAATAGAACTAAAAGGATTTCAACTAAAAATGGTTAATTTAAAACCTACATTTTATAATAAAGCTGACAATCCATCCATGAATAGTTCATTAAAATTTATATTTTTGATTGCTTTGACTTACTTTCTTTTGGTTGGCTTGTACAAGCTTTTTGGCACTTCAGTGTATTTAAAGTTTAATTGCAAAAACTTAAACGAGTTTGAATTAATAAGACAAAACAGTTAAGTTATGCACTGACGAAACCTCTCAAATACATTAAACCGTATAAGCAATCTGTCAAAGCACCTGAATCTGACAGCAACCACATGATATTCAATACTAAGCTAACTGTTTTCATATTACATTTTTATTGATTTTATCAAATACTTGTTGCAGTGGTATGGTTCACAAAAGCTTGTTTTTCATAACTACTCCCTGCATGGATTTGATCATGCATTCCAGTTAAGTATCCTGAATCACCTAATAATCTCTTCAGCCAGGAATGACCCTCTCAGGGGGTCTCCAGAGAGCTGACTCTTAAAATCAGAATCTGTTTCAAGGGTTACGTTTGATTCACACATCTTCGAGTCGGTCCTTCAGTAATTACGGTTTGAACGGCTCAAACACCCTCGCTCAGTAACCACTGATAAATCTGCCATAGTCTGGACTGCAGTCGGCAAATAAATTAAGTTCTTAGAGGTATGTGTGTGAGCGTGAGCGAGTGAATGTATGAAAGTATGAACGTACACAGCGCAGCTGCCATCTACCCAAGTAGATGCGCACTTCTGTTGTGTGATCTTTATTGATGTTCGCTCACTTAGCACGCATCATTTGGATTAAAACTAAATCGTAAATATAAGACAATTTATAGGGGCATTCACTATAAATGTCATTTATTTTCACCCTTAAGCATACACGACTTTCTGGTGAAAGTGAAACTAATAGTCTGTGAGAAATGCGCTAGGCTGTACTGTACTTGTCCCTTTCATTCTGCACCAGTACAAATACGTGCATGTCTATCATAGAGAGAGAAAAAAATGAACAGTGAAAGTAATAAAAACTTGTAAAATACATTGTAATGGGCATAATTAAGAGTGAAAATAAAGATATACAGTCAAACCAAAAATTATTCACAGACCAGACATAATTTTTGAATTTTTTTTACTAGTGGGTGCCGGACACTATAGTTAATTTATGTAAAGTGAGGATAGCAAAATAAACTAAACTGTGATATATTATACCCAAAAATTCTTCATACAGTGGACTACCAGTAAAATTGATACAAATTTGGGACCAAAAATTATTCAGACAGAGTCTGGGAAGTTCAGGTTTGTATGAACCTGGCTGACAGCATGCCCAGGAGACTACAGGCTGTCATTAAGGCTAAGGGTTGCCCGACAAAGTATTGATAGTTGTATAAATATTGACAGCTGTATGAATAATTTTTGGTTTACTGTAATCCATTACATACCTTTCTATCAAAGTTATAAAACATTATCAAGCTGAATTTGTTCTGACACAGTTTAACTCTGAGTTCGTCATATTTTATTATCATTTTCTAAACTATAACGAATAAACTGTAATAATGTGAGAAATGTTGAAGGTGTCTGAATACATTTTTGTTTGACTATCTATTTGATAAATGAAGTTAACCAACTAACATTATACATACTCTTTTGGTTTCTGTACCCAATATTTAAAAAATTTACAAATGCAATGAAAATATTGGTATCGGTACTCGGTATCGGTAAGCACCAAAAATAAAAGTATCGTATCGGGCGTGTACTGGAAAAAGTGGTATCGGTGCATCCCTAATTATTATCAATGTTAAAAAAAAATACTGCTTAATATATTTGTTGCAACTGTGATACAATTTTTAGGATTTTTGATTAATAGAAATTTATTTAAAATAGTTTTTTTAAATAACGTTAAGAACTCTTTAGTCACTTCTGATCAATTTAATGTGTCCTTAATGGATAAAATTATTGTTTAAAAACTAAACATAACAACTGGCCCCAAATTTTTGAAAGGCAGGGTATGTACATAAGTATTTACATCCTATAATATATACTATATATAATTATATTATACATATATGTACAGCTACAGTTGCCATTCTGAGCAGTCCATGATCGGACTACCTTTTATTTTTTTAATAATGGATGGAATGCCAGCAATATTTGAACCACCAACTGTTATTTTATCCAGAATGCTGGCAAAAAGGTCTAAAATCATACTAAAGGTGCACCAGGCAGCACAAGAAGAAATTCTGCTTTAGTTACAGTTTTCAAGGTCAAAATAAATGAGAAACATTGTGAAAATAAATAATAGACTGCATACCCAGATATTTATATCCAGACAGGATTTCTCTGAGGACCCGAGTTAGCAGAAAAACAGTAGGTGATTTGCTGCATACATTTAGTTTTTTTGAGGTTGTGCAAGAAACACACAGACATGTTCAATGCAGATGAGAAATAAATCGCAAAGTAAACAAGTTCTCTGAGAAAACTAGTCCTATCGGTGTAGACCTAACACCACATATACCATCATTAAAAAAAAACACCTTAAATATCAGGTGTTTGACAGAGCTATAACCTTGAGAGCTATGAGCTGATGATTGGAGATCTCCATCTAAACAATATTTTATTTATTTTCTAATGGTTCGTCCTGCTCTTATATTCTTCCCCTTTATCCAGTCATCTCACAAACACATGCAACCAACCACACGTGTCTAATACTTGAAAAAAAAGTAGATTTAATCCTGTAGATCAATGGCAGAGCAAAAACAGCGGGAGATTTCTACCTGAACATCGTTTTATAAGGGGATGGGGAAGGCACCCCGGAAGGGGTAGGGCTCGGATTATAATAAAACCAATTAGATATTTTTCCCAGATTCTGCATTCAATCACAGCTTTACTTTCTTCTGGAAAAGAAAAGTGGAATACAACAGTGCACTTTCCTTCTGGCAAATCCTGTGTCAGATATGAATCATCTTCCCATTTTAGGGAGAAGGGGTAGGGCTCGGATTATAATAAAACCAATTAGATATTTTTCTCAGATTCTGCATTCAATCACAGCTTTACTTTCATCTGGAAAAGAAAAGTGGAATACAACAGTGCACTTTCCTTCTGGCAAATCCTGTGTCAGATATGAATCATCTTCCCATTTTAGGGAGAAAAAAAAAAAAGAGAGAATCGTGGCATGGAGAGGGAGACAGAGTCAAGAAACACTGGATAAAGCTGCGATGACTATGTCGAAGAATTTAATTCAGCGAATATTTGTTATAACTGTGATTGTTGTGCACTTGCAATTCAAATATGGCAATTTTACATGAATACAGAAATGCCATGAAAAGCACTTCAAATAAATTAAAGTACAAGCGTCTCTGAAGTGCGTGTGCACCGTCTATGGTTGTTCATGCCGCTCTCAAAAAGTATAATCAAGCCGTTAAATGGCATTCGCTTTCGTCTTATTATATTAATTTATGTATATGACAAACACATTTGGCTGATCAAGATCGGCTCATTGCAAATTGATGAGAGAAATTCAAGAATTTAGGACAGAACTATTAATGTATCATAGTGGAAAAAATATTATACAAAATTAAATAATGCATACAAATAGAATAAACTTGAGAATAAAAGAAAAATACACTAAATTTAAAATAATAAAATTGTTGATGAATAGAAAGTAGACTCAAATATTTTAAATATTTGTAAATATGTTAACATTATTATTCATGTTATACACTTTCTCATATTTGCTCACAAAAGAAAATCATATATTTTGTTGATGCATGATTCAATGTTCAATGTGAATAAAGTACTTCTTCATAAGGTGTATGTGTAATTAAGCTTCCGCTGTGTGCAAACGTCACGAACGAAACAAACAGAAAAATTAGTTAACCTCAGTTATTTGAATGACAATTCAGCATCAGCCAAAATATCAAGGTTGTGACAGCTCTAGCAGCGATGACTCACCTGTGTCTTCCCCAGCAGCTTATATGCCAGTTGAACTTTGGTGTAGTGAGAAACATCAAAGTGTTTGCAGGTTTTGGACAGCGCCACATCTAGCTGTTCCTGCACAGACGAGCATGAAATCAGATACAGTCAAAAAGGACTTAGAAGCCTCATTTTATGGTGCTGAAATGTACAATTACCACAAATGAATGAGGGCCATAATAATCAATGGTTTAAATCACTGATGATACTGAACACACAACTTCATTTTGAGCTCAAAGATAAGCATTCACATTCTTAATGAGTTGGGACGTGCGCTGCTACAGAAATAGAAAAGTGGCGTGAATCATTGTAATTTTGGTAGCAGCGCTCTTTGTTGGCACAGGCGCTATGCTATTCGCTAATGCATGTGATGAGACAGTGAACGAGATAAAAAGATGGGGAGGAAGGGAAAAGAAAGAGTGAGAGACAGATATTAAAAGAGAAACATGAAAGAATAGGGAAAAAGAGCAAGTTAATGAGTAAAGGAGTTGTATGCCAGGCTGGACGCCATCCAATTACATTTGTCACACAGAAATCTCTGCATAATATAGCAGATAACACAAACAGCACTGCTGGGGAAACTGTGTGTGCGTGTGTGTGTGGGGCTGTGTGTTTTGTGGCAGTATAAGCTAGAACGAAGCTACCGAGTATTGAAAGACAGCAATTTATTTAATAAAACACAGTCCATCTGCCTCTGGGCTTGAGAGACCAAACGCTGGCAGACTGACACCCTAAGCTCCACTGTTAGACATACAAACGCATGGTCAAGAGTTCCTTCCGATCTGTTTAATTCATTTAATGTTGAGGAACTACATCAGGGCAACTGCTGTTGTTAAATCTGTCAAGGGTGCGTGAGTGTTTCTGAAGGGAATAGGGTGATCTGAGATTGAATGTCTGATACGATGAAGTAGTTGTTCACCATCCTAGATTCTCGTCCTTTGCCTAAGGACAAAAACGAAAAAGAAGTCACATACCTCGATTTGCTCCAGAGTGTCTTGTAGTTTGGAATTCAACTCACTGAGGAAGAAAAAAAAAAGAGAGAGAAAAGGGAGGTGAACAGTGAATAGGAATACAAATCAACAGAAATGTTGGTTCATTGTGAAACACGAATAACCATTGTATTCTGTTAGCAGAGTAACACAAACCATCAAAAACATTATACCAACATGTTGGGAGGAAAAGAGCACTAAACAACACAAAACCAGCCTCACAGACGGTGACATTTCTGTGGAAAAAAACAGGCACTGACATTTGAAAAACAGGGGTGTATTTTTACAGAGCGTGGCTTCTTCCTTATCTTGTGCAGCTGGAACAAGACTGATGTGTGTTCTTAGTGTCGAGAGGGGCGTGCTAAACTAGTCAGTGGGTTTTCTGAATGAGGGAGGGAAAAAAATGACTAATCTGTCTTACAAAAGCCATGAATAATAAGGCTGTTTTAGGGTCACGCCAATCACACACCAATCAGACATCTTTTGTGGGGAACTCAACAGTAAAGCTGGCTTTCCACTATCTCCAACATTCATGTACGTTTGTCACATTTCGGCCCTAATTGTAGTCGCACAGTGGAACTTTCAAACTGGTCATGAAGCAGCCGTTACCCTGTTTAATCACCATGATAAATTGAATGAATAATGAATGTATAAATATATCCACACAAAACAAATGACCACCAATATGTTTGAAAGAAATGCATGTAGGTTTTAGTAGAGTTAATTAATGCAAATAAATGGTAATAAAATGATTATTTTGAACATAATTATTCATAAGTGCATATTTTACAGAAAGAGTGTTTAAGGATTAACGGTTTAGTGTAATATTGGTAATTCTCACATCACATTCAGTTTTCATTTGAATACATTACATCCGGTCTGACTGTCGTTTATGGTCTAGATGCAAAATGTTCAATCTTCTCGACAAACAACACTTATGGTCAGAACTCCATGTAGCTCCTGTTATTTTCAGCATTGGAAAGGAATACTTTGCACAAAAATACATTTGTCAGAGATACTGAAAATGTGGCTTAAGGAATTTTTCTGTTTGCTCATTTGAGAGTATTTTAGATTTGTGCTTGCCCTACCAACAATTTCACTAAATAAATAAATAATAAACATTTATACTTGCTAAAGGTCTTATTTAAAAAACAAATAAATAAACATTTATACTTGCTAAAGGTCTTGTTTATATCATATATATATATATATACATACATATACATATACACACTAGTCAACATTTGAAGTGGATCAAAACCTTTCATCAAAGTGGTCCTAAAACATAAAACAAAATGTGTTCTTGTCTTATGACAACTTTGATTAACTTTTTTGATACACCTGTATATATTTTATATTTACTTTAAATTATTTGATTTTATTTATTATACATTAAGCCTTTTTTCATGAAATGACCAATCGAATAAATTCAGAATGTGGACAAGCAGAATTTGCAACCAAATGTTTATGTTTGTAGGGCCTAAAAATTCATTTACATGATCAAAAAACTCAGTTAAGTTAAAAATGTCAAACTAAAAAAAACTACATAGAAAGTAAGCTTGTGACTTATATAAAAATATCGCTCACAGAAGAGCACCTTAAATCTGACAGTAAATGTTGAATACAGTGGATTTGTTACACAAGTGCTGCTTTGATGGCAGTATTAGCAGTGCTTTAAATGGAATGGGCCAGTAACATCTCTAAATGTATCCATTTAAAGCACTGCCAGCAAAAATACTAAAGCTTAAAAAAAATTGGAGTAAAAAAATCTGACCCATCTGATCCCATTAGTGTCTAAAAAAGCAACCCATAAGGCTGCTATGAGGAACCAGCTGAGACTTGAAGCAACATGACACTAGCAGCAACTTTGCTGGTGGCCACGCATAATCATGATCTGACAATTAAGTAGCAGCGCTCTTTGTTGGCACAGGCGCTATGCTATTCGCTAATGCATGTGATGAGACAGTGAACGAGATAAAAAGATGGGGAGGAAGGGAAAAGAAAGAGTGAGAGACAGATATTAAAAGAGAAACATGAAAGAATAGGGAAAAAGAGCAAGTTAATGAGTAAAGGAGTTGTATGCCAGGCTGGACGCCATCCAATTACATTTGTCACACAGAAATCTCTGCATAATATAGCAGATAACACAAACAGCACTGCTGGGGAAACTGTGTGTGCGTGTGTGTGTGGGGCTGTGTGTTTTGTGGCAGTATAAGCTAGAACGAAGCTACCGAGTATTGAAAGACAGCAATTTATTTAATAAAACACAGTCCATCTGCCTCTGGGCTTGAGAGACCAAACGCTGGCAGACTGACACCCTAAGCTCCACTGTTAGACATACAAACGCATGGTCAAGAGTTCCTTCCGATCTGTTTAATTCATTTAATGTTGAGGAACTACATCAGGGCAACTGCTGTTGTTAAATCTGTCAAGGGTGCGTGAGTGTTTCTGAAGGGAATAGGGTGATCTGAGATTGAATGTCTGATACGATGAAGTAGTTGTTCACCATCCTAGATTCTCGTCCTTTGCCTAAGGACAAAAACGAAAAAGAAGTCACATACCTCGATTTGCTCCAGAGTGTCTTGTAGTTTGGAATTCAACTCACTGAGGAAGAAAAAAAAAAGAGAGAGAAAAGGGAGGTGAACAGTGAATAGGAATACAAATCAACAGAAATGTTGGTTCATTGTGAAACACGAATAACCATTGTATTCTGTTAGCAGAGTAACACAAACCATCAAAAACATTATACCAACATGTTGGGAGGAAAAGAGCACTAAACAACACAAAACCAGCCTCACAGACGGTGACATTTCTGTGGAAAAAAACAGGCACTGACATTTGAAAAACAGGGGTGTATTTTTACAGAGCGTGGCTTCTTCCTTATCTTGTGCAGCTGGAACAAGACTGATGTGTGTTCTTAGTGTCGAGAGGGGCGTGCTAAACTAGTCAGTGGGTTTTCTGAATGAGGGAGGGAAAAAAATGACTAATCTGTCTTACAAAAGCCATGAATAATAAGGCTGTTTTAGGGTCACGCCAATCACACACCAATCAGACATCTTTTGTGGGGAACTCAACAGTAAAGCTGGCTTTCCACTATCTCCAACATTCATGTACGTTTGTCACATTTCGGCCCTAATTGTAGTCGCACAGTGGAACTTTCAAACTGGTCATGAAGCAGCCGTTACCCTGTTTAATCACCATGATAAATTGAATGAATAATGAATGTATAAATATATCCACACAAAACAAATGACCACCAATATGTTTGAAAGAAATGCATGTAGGTTTTAGTAGAGTTAATTAATGCAAATAAATGGTAATAAAATGATTATTTTGAACATAATTATTCATAAGTGCATATTTTACAGAAAGAGTGTTTAAGGATTAACGGTTTAGTGTAATATTGGTAATTCTCACATCACATTCAGTTTTCATTTGAATACATTACATCCGGTCTGACTGTCGTTTATGGTCTAGATGCAAAATGTTCAATCTTCTCGACAAACAACACTTATGGTCAGAACTCCATGTAGCTCCTGTTATTTTCAGCATTGGAAAGGAATACTTTGCACAAAAATACATTTGTCAGAGATACTGAAAATGTGGCTTAAGGAATTTTTCTGTTTGCTCATTTGAGAGTATTTTAGATTTGTGCTTGCCCTACCAACAATTTCACTAAATAAATAAATAATAAACATTTATACTTGCTAAAGGTCTTATTTAAAAAACAAATAAATAAACATTTATACTTGCTAAAGGTCTTGTTTAAAATATATATATATATATATACATACATATACACACTAGTCAACATTTGAAGTGGATCAAAACCTTTCATCAAAGTGGTCCTAAAACATAAAACAAAATGTGTTCTTGTCTTATGACAACTTTGATTAACTTTTTTGATACACCTGTATATATTTTATATTTACTTTAAATTATTTGATTTTATTTATTATACATTAAGCCTTTTTTCATGAAATGACCAATCGAATAAATTCAGAATGTGGACAAGCAGAATTTGCAACCAAATGTTTATGTTTGTAGGGCCTAAAAATTCATTTACATGATCAAAAAACTCAGTTAAGTTAAAAATGTCAAACTAAAAAAATCTACATAGAAAGTAAGCTTGTGACTTATATAAAAATATCGCTCACAGAAGAGCACCTTAAATCTGACAGTAAATGTTGAATACAGTGGATTTGTTACACAAGTGCTGCTTTGATGGCAGTATTAGCAGTGCTTTAAATGGAATGGGCCAGTAACATCTCTAAATGTATCCATTTAAAGCACTGCCAGCAAAAATACTAAAGCTTAAAAAAAATTGGAGTAAAAAAATCTGACCCATCTGATCCCATTAGTGTCTAAAAAAGCAACCCATAAGGCTGCTATGAGGAACCAGCTGAGACTTGAAGCAACATGACACTAGCAGCAACTTTGCTGGTGGCCACGCATAATCATGATCTGACAATTAAGAACAACTGTATTTTATTTCACAAGCTAACTCAGCTTGACATGAGGAATTGCCTGGCCCCTGTGGGACAATGTTTTTGAAAGATTAGACGGAATGCATAAAACTTTAATTAAACTGCCTCTTCCTTTTCCTCATCCTTCCCTTTTTCCTTCTCTTTGAAGGCACTGGATGCAAAAAGTATAAAATGCTCCAATAAATGCTCTAATTTTGCCACAATGCATGACTCTTGGCATGAGGAACCCCCACGTATACCACCGCCCAGCTGGTGTGCAAAAACATGCAGCATTCTAGGTATGTTGTTGTAAAAAAAAAACCCGGCAGGAGAGGATGTGACCTTTTTGTGAAAAAGCTGATGCTGTTTGACAAATGATTTTGAGTGCTGGTGTCCTAGACGAGTTCTTGCAAAGGCTGATGGGAGAATGCAGAAGTCCTTTAGTCTGCCTCAATCCATCACAGTGGGCTCTGACTCAATGTGGGTCCCCCTTTTACTTCAGGGCCCTTAGAGGAAACCCAGCATCACTTCGAGCTGATCAATTACTTCCGACTCGCAGCTC